TCAAGCAAAGGGGGTAGTCCAGCAAGCAGCTTTCTGACATTATTTAGGGGGGGCCCCTAGAATAATGTCTAGAGATTTGAGGCTTTAAATCTGTGTTTCCTTTTCTTTGCCTTTTGATTTGCTTTACTCACCCTCTATTCCTTATTTACTTTTCCTAAGCTCTTTAGTTGTGAAGCTTTCCAAAAGTTTCCAAAAGTCAGTGCGCACTTTCTTAATAAAATCCCTTATTCAAAAGTATTGAAAAACAAAGAAAAGTTAGTTCTTTGTCCATTGATTCATTCCCTTTTATTCTAATTAATATTCCAGATGTCTTCAAAGTTAGGTTTCTTAATTCCTTCTATTTTAATATTGCCAGAGTAGCTCCAGAGGTAGCTAGCTAAGGATTCCTTATTTAATTATCAATTGATTGATTTTCTTATATATTATATTGGAGGCCTTGGTTGTTGAGGGGGGGGGGGGAGTTTATAAATCAAGGGTCAACATTATTTTGCCCGCCAAGCCAAAACGACCCTTAAAAGCTAACTCCAGTCGCTGCAACGTCTGACGCCGGGACCGGCACTGTCTCAACCGCCACGTCAAACGACGGTGAACAGAAGTTCGTGGAAGCCAACCGCCGAGTGACACATATCCTTTGCAAAGGTGTTGTGCCTCGTCGCCCAGAAAAACACGGCTGGAACTGGAACGCAGGTTCGCGCTTGTGGAACGTGGGTTCTCGCTCGTGTGACCGTCGTGAAAGGTTCAACAACAAAAATCATTTTGGTGTCCGTGTTCCGTATGGGCACCCCAAAATGGTATCCGTGTGGGCTTTCTTCAAACTTCAGATGTTTTTGCACCATGAAGCAACACTTGAAGTTAGCTGGCTGTGAATAGACTAATATTCTATTATCACCTGAACCAGAACAGCCCTATAGAAGATTATAGAAGCCTGGAAATAGAGTGGGAATTGGTTTGCATGTGGTTTCCTACTTTATCTTTGACTTGGGGTGTGAAATCAGACTGCTTTTGGTTTCACTTAGAGCACATCATTGGCATCGTCTTGTGCCATTAAATGATAAACACGTCACAACTGCAAATTCATAGTTTAATATATCATGGGCATCTGAAATTGCAGGCTACTCCGTAGTGGGGTCAGGCTACTCCTGACAGCTGCTCCCAAGAGTGGCCTGAAGTGCATCCACGAGGATATCCACTGTGGCAGTGTAGCCCAGCGCACGCAGGAGTTCTTCCTCAGCGGCTGGAGACACGGTGGGAGACCTCCTCCGTGTGGGAAGAGCTCCCGGGCATGGGCATTCCGACCCGCAGCAGGTTTGGTTCGGTCTACCCAGCCAGGGGCGAGATCGGAAGGGTGTCTTCCTATTGAAAGACATCCACCAGCACCACCCAGTTTGGGTGGTTATTAGATGAAAAATACATCTTCAGGGGGGTCTATAAACCACTCTTTGGGTGCTGCTGGCATAAGCTTCCGCTGGTGTTCCAACCTTTGAACTGCGCACTTCAGGCCATGTTTTGGCTGCAGCGGAACGGATCCATCCGGATCCGTTCCCGGTTCCCGTGAGTCGGACAGTCGGACGTCCGAGCCATCGCCTAGCCAGCCAACAAGGCTCCCTCATGGAGGTGGCGTGGCGGTCCCTGGTTGTTCCTTTCGCTTCTCTATGTGCACCCGGTGTGCATCCCGTTTCGCGTTTCTTGTTCTTCCACTCCAGGACCATTGAATTCGGGATCTGTCTAAAAAGGACTTGCGCAACGGCCATGTGCTGCCCTTTGTCCTCCCAACAAGCCCAAGCCCACCAAACCCAGCCACCAGCTGCAAGCCATTGCGACACCTGGCAATCAGGTGGGAGACGGTCGGTGGAACCACCACACCATCCGGGTGGGGCCTCTAAACCCTCCTGACCACTGGTTAACCCAACTGATCCTCGCCATCCTGTGCCTTTTGCCAAGAAGGGTAGACCCTGAATAAGAAGCTGGAAGATGTCTCTGTGCAAACCTGTGCAAGTCTCCATTTTTTTTAAACCTGGCTTGACACTCCCGGGTATACCAAACAATGAAGACTGGACCGGTCACTCCCAAGGCCGATGTGACACACTGCTGAGCTGCGTTCATCCAGTTGACACACCGACCAGGGCAATCCTGCGATCCCTCACGTGTGGGACAGTTTTTGAATACGTTTCTCGGTTCTTTTGCTCCGTCTCTGCACCCCGATGTCTTCATTCATCTTCACCGAGCTCCGGTTTCGTTGGGCCCCTCGCTCGCCTGGTTTTAACATGTTTTAACCTGGTTTTCGGGACAAGAGGATACAATGTTCTACTGCACGACGTCTCCGGATTGTCTTCCCCAAAAGCGAACTCCGAAACCGTCGCCGCAACAAACACGGACGTTTGAGCTCCTCATCGACCGCCCTGCAGCCCAGAAGGCCGGTGTTGTTGTGCATCAAATCTTGGACCATCTGCCGAACTGATAAACACCACAAATTAACTCCCAAATCACCCCAAATCCCACCCCTTTTTGGCACCTCTCCCTTTGACTCTCTCTTTAACCATCCGTTCTCTTCCCCTTTGTGTTTTTTCGCGCACACTGAAGATCATGCCCTGCCTTCCACCCTTCCTTGCCAGCCGCCGAGAAATCTCCTGCGCTTCCTCCTGCGCTTCGTCGGCCAAACGTGGTTCCCGTTCACGGAGTTGAAGCATGACTTCAAGCCAGAAGAATGACTGCGTTGGATTGGAACAACGCATGATATACCAGCACCTTCAAAGGGGTCACCTGGCTGGAAGCCCCTACACTACCTATAGGGATCTCCATTGGACACCCCTTTGAATAAATAATTACCGGCATGGTTGCCTTGATTTGCATTCACGACTCTACCTGTAGGCCGGCGCTCTATTCAGGGGCCTTCGGGCGACCGGCGGAAAACAGTGACCGGGCGACTGGTGCGACTTTACGATTTCAATTGTCGGGCAGTCGACTGGTGTGTTCGTTCCATTTTGGAATGGGCGGTGGTTTGTTCCTATGCTCTGCTCCTGCAAACCATCGATGGCGCCGTGCCCGGCTGTCCAGAATCGCCCCGAAACACGGCTGCGTGCGTTTAGGTTGAATCCAGAGCTCAAAAAAGCGAAATGGGGCCTGGTCCGACCGTCGAAGGCGGAAATTCCATTATATTAAAACAAGTCGTGAATTAAGATCATTCCGCGAACCCTTGAAAGGATTGGCGCTACACCGGTGACACGAAGGGAAGAAGCAAAAAGACCTGCAGTCTCAAGGTTCGGATTTGGCCTTCCATGCTTCTACGCCTCGCCCACCCGTTGCTGAATGACTGGGTTACCTGGAGTGTTTTCACAATAGAACGATCACCTCAGATCACAAGGACTAAGAACAGTTGTCCTTCACGGCGCACACCATCTCACGCCTGCCTATCACCACAACCTCTACCTGCCGTTGTCACGAGCCTAATTCGTCACCCTGACGGATCAAGAAGGGACAAAACAGCTTGTTGTTCCAGCACCACCCAGGTTGAGTGTTTTTATCAATGCCGGCTGCCAGGTTTACCACGCACATCCATCCACTACCCAGCCAAACTGCAGGTGGTTTTGTGCGCAGCTTGCATCCAAACTCACCGAAATTCATGACGGCGCCGGGCGATCTTCGGATTTGGCCCTTCCCGAGCCACCCTCCATTCCCGCGCCCGTGCCGCGTCGGACCAGACCTGCCGGTCCGTCGAGCTGTCGGTCCGTTGTCTCTGAAAACCTCCATGTTCGTAAGGTTTCTCCATGACCAACTGACCAACTTCAATAAAATGAGGTCAAACTGACCTGTATTATAAGGGATTAAAGGGATTAACTATATATATGCTATAGTGGGTCTTTGAGTTCAGCAGCCCTTTTGAGCATGACCAACTCCGCTCTTTGCCCGGTCGACGGCATGTTTCGGCAGCTCGGACGAAACCCACGGCCGCAAAAGCCGGGTGCGAAAGGAACCATCGTCCTCGTACAAGCTCCGAAGGCAGCGCAGGAACTCGGTCTGAGTCCTGAGATGACCAGAAAACCGAGCAGCACAGGGGTGTGCGACAGTGTGAGCTGAAGCTAGCTGGTTGTACATGAAGTATAGGCTGGTGGTCAGGAACCGGACAAAAATAAACATCACCCATCAAAACCAGGTGGTTGTATACTTCAATGGCTTCCAGGCCTTCCTGTGCGTCCAGTGATTGAAGATTGATAAATCATGATAAATCCAACTAAGCCGGGAAACAACACAAACCGTGTTGTGTTTCTGCATACCGGAACGCCAACAAAGTGAAGAAATCAAACTCTACCAGGACCCTCCAACAGGTCACCACCTGCCGCATTTAAGTCTCAAAACACCACCAAAGGAGACCTCTTGGAGGGTGCTGGTACATGGCATTTAAAAGGATGATATCATCAAACACATGGATTGTCTGAGGAATACATTCCCTCTCACTATTGTGAATTCAAACATACCAAAAATGTGAACAAAACAGGTCAACAGGTCGGCGATTTGGTGCCAATTTCGTCCAACATGTCCGTAAGTATAAGGAAAAAACAGATCGACCGATTGGACAGTTTGAGTGCTCAAAAAATGGTTGCATTGTCTGCAATGTCACCCATTAAAAAGGGAAACACGGACCAACACCTGCTGTTGAACTCACTGGTTGTCAAAAGCATTTACGACATAGCCGCATGGTCTTCCTGAACTCTGTACATGGAATATCTTGGATTGTCTAAAGCCACAAGAGAAAACCCGTTTCCCAATGTACAAACGAAGACTCCACGCACACCCCTTGTATGTGCTCAAGTAACACAGCCGTCAACCATTCACAACCTGAAACGATCTATGATCTACAGGGCGAAAGGAGCATTCGGGAGTGAGTTGCAGTGCAAAAACAATCCAATACGATCTATTATGTCCGCCACGCACATCAGTCGCGACCGTCTTCATGGCAACCGTCCACTGTGGATGTACCGTGGATCCACCGTGAGGGGTCAGTACGGCTGGAACGACTTTCGTGGCCCGGCATGGATTTCATAGCGTAAGTCCACCGGAATCCCGAGAAGCCGAGAAAAACTATCTCGGTGAGAGACCCCAAACAGTGTGTGTGAGGTTCAGAGGTGTAGCAGCAGAAAGTCTAGAGACCTAGACGCATTGGGGTTCAGGGAGGTGATGGTGGTTGTGGGTGAGTGAGTGAGTGAGCGAGTGAGGGAGGGAGTGAGCGAGTGAGTGAGGGAGGGAGCGAGCGAGTGAGAGTGAATGTGAGTGTGTACTGCACTTGCCACGAAATCTGCACTTCGAGGTTCACAAAGCTGCAACGATTTCTGCCACTGAAAACGAGCCACATGTACAAAAGTCACAACTCACTGCACCTGTCAGGAAATTAGAGCACGTCCAAGATCACCACCATATCCAAAGTGTTGCACCTGCCACAAAATCTGCACTTCGAAGTAAGGCCGCTCCGATGCCTTGCACCCGTCACGAAAAGTCGACTTTGGACCACCAAAACACGAGGTTTCCCTTGCGCCTGCCACGAAAACGTGACCACCATGTCCGAAAATGCGCACGACACCAGAACGAGAGCGCAGTCGCGACAAGCCGGCGCCAGCCCACCAGATTCTGCAGAGCCTGCGCAGTCGAAATGCACTTCGAGGATATCGAGAAGCATGAATGTACTGTAAATGCCAGCGAATTCGCCGCACACGTCGGCGCGACCACCTTCGATTCGATACCTAACTATACTTCCGTAAGAACCCCCAGTGTGACCACACTGTTTGGGGAAACAAGGGAGGATGTTACACTGTTTTTTTTTGCTCTTGCGCTCGCCGATAACTCTGTTCGTGGCCGCAAAATGCATCTAATTCTGAATTAAAGGTTGGGCTTGTTTCCCACAGAAATCAGCCCCCATCTCAGCACACTCGTCGAAGCTCTGCATTAAGTCTTTGCAGGCTTTTACGAAGTCACTGGGGATAGGGGGCGAATCAGCAGCCACAGGCTGACTCCTCAGGAGAGGCTGTGACAGGGCTTCACAAAAAATCTCCGGGTAGGCCTTTAGGCGGGTCGTTGCCCATGTGCCATCGCTGAGTTTTCCAATGGCTGCAGTTGTGGGAAGCTTCGTCTTCCTGCTCTTGAGCAGGAATTCTTCAGCACTTGCATCAATGTTGATAAGCAGCAGGTCCGTTGGCTTGATAGCCGCCGCACCATAGTATCCCTGACAAACCCTTAGCTTCCTGCAGCCAGGGTACTTTAGAAGCAAGCGCATGATCGATGTTCGCCAAATAGACACGTGCATGAAATCGTGACTCTCTTCTGCCGGGTGTTCCAGGAGTCCCGATGCCCCAACACACAGCGCGATGACAAGCAAGTGTACCGCTATCCCAAGGAGCCGGGAACCAGGAGCACCTGTTTATCTTCGGCCTTAGTCAGCGAGAGGATGCCACTTGGCCTCTGTTGTGTCCGAACAACCCTCGGGCCTTGTGAACCATCAGCAAGGGCCGTGCCCCTTGCACGGCTCCAGGTTTCACAGGGAGGGCCGGCTATGAGACCGTTCAGCACATTGTCTTTGAGTGCCTTCGCGAAGAAGGCAAATGTTTCCGGGCGGCTAAGGTCGCCCATGTCAAGATCAAATATGATATCTATCGAAAGTGCCATGGCCCCTGCGCTTTCAAGCCAGGTCTGTACATCTCCTTTCCTTCGATGTCCAGAAAAAAGATGCGCAAAGACAACCGGTTGGTATGCCGGTTGCCTGACCACTTGGAAAGTAAAGGCCTCGCAGTTCGAGAGGTGCTTCTCAACGCACATGAAAACATCGCCTTCATCTTGCACGCATTCAGTTTGCCCTGTCAAAAGCCATCCGAATGAAAACGAAGCTTCAAATTGTGCACACACACTCAGCTGATGTAGCAGAAAAGTGTCTTCCGCTTCAGCAACCCACTGCAAAAAAGCACTCATGATCTCATCTGGGTATAGATATGTTTTTTTTTCATACACTGCCTTCCAATCCTTGCTCCGGCTACCGGTCTCTCACTTCACTCATCATCAAGGGCCTCGCTGATCGCCTCAGCTTCCCTCGCAGGGCCTGCCTGCTCCGGCAGATCCCCCACCTTCGGGACCGCCAACAATTGGTCTTCCAAGCCAGGCACGGTACCGCCTGGCGGTCCTGCCTTCGGCTTTGCGCTAATCTTCGGCACTGCACCGCCTTTGCCGTCGCCTTTATCCCCGGCCGCTAGCTTGCGCTTGGAGACGATGCTGACAACTGCTGGAGGCTGACTCAATTCAACAAACCTCTGCTCTTCTTGGCGTGTGGAATCAGCATATCCGAAGTTATACAAAACGGAGTCGCCTTTGCGCTCCGGAAAGAGTCTGCTGATCCTCGATGTCTGGGGCTTTATCCCGTACAGGAGGTCTGCTCCTTCAACAAGTGCACCATGCAACAAAATGGACCTCTTGGCCCACCTCCGGCTTCGTTCATCATCGTTTCCTCTGAACATGTAACCTCTCCTGGAGTTGGGGCCGTCATAATAGAGCAGATCATCACCAAGGGTGATGTCCGTGCCCGCACTGAGGTACCCCTTTGATGCACTTCCACCTGTGGCCCTCACCACGTTTTGTGTGACAAATGGATATGAGCTGCATCATTCCAAATGCCAACCCCTGGCCCATGGGAATAAGCAAGGATGGACGTCCCTTGAAACGAGGGCGGTTTGAGGCTCGGACCCATTTCAGTGTACACTGAGTGAGACTGTCCCTCAACTATGAGCACCCCGCGGCTCTGCACCTCTAAATTCTGGAAGCTCTCCCTGATCGCCACGGCCTCGTCTGTCAAGGCACCCACTTCGTTGAGAAGTGGCCTCAATCTCTCTGGCAGCATCTCTGTGCATAGTGGGTCGTAGGCAATCCATGATGCCAGATTGTGTAGGGGTCCCACCCCGCACTCGTCATTGCGAACGCCCTCGGCGTTCGGATTTGCATGCCAGTTCATCGTCAAAATGAAAGAATTGCACACTCTGAGATCGAACAAGCGCATCAGATTGCTTGCCACAATCTCTCCCAAACCAGTAGGTTTGAGGGCGCTCCTCTTCCACACACTTTCAAATCTTGGTCTCGGATCGCGCAGATCCACCAAATCACTGGACCAAGCTCCGCCAGTCACCAGTGCATTCGGTGACAAAGGGATCATTCTCAGCGCCTGTGCCAGTGCCATCTGTGTGATTCCATTGAATCCTGAAATGGACACTGATGCAACTTGTGGGCTGTTGCCGACTGCCTCCGTAGCCTTGCCGATGAATGAGAGGGTCTCTGAGCGTTTGTCATCAATCGCCCACGTGCTCTGAAATAATGACACCCTGATTGGTGACATAGGAAGATAAATCGACCCATGCCGTAACAGAGCATCGCTGCAAGCGCCAGGGCAACTCGGCTCGTTCATGGCTGGCGTGATCACCGGCTGATCCAGCTGCGCGCTGCAATGGGGGTAGTGTCCGAAACGCATACATGCGTTCAGGAATCCGGCCTCGCACCCGTCCGGGTCGGGCGCTGCTGCTGCTAAAAGGTTCATGCAGCGTGCCATCTGGTCCGGGTCGATAACTGACCTGTTGTTGCCGAGCGCGATTGGAAAGCCAGCGCCCGCAACTGGGTAGGAATTCGTAACCAAAGCATTGAGACCTGGCGTCAGACCGCCTAGCCCGACGGCATTTTGCGGACCATCTGTACAAGCAACCCGAATATCTATCGGCGTTGCTCCCCTCCATTGCGAGCTGAGCAATGTCCAATCTTGGCCAGCGATTGGTGCATCTCCTGGACTTGCCTTCTTATCCAGCCATGCCGCAGGCATGTTGCCATCAGCAGGCATAGGATTTGATGTGGCGTTTGACTCCACAAACGCCCTGAGCGGGCAATGTGATGACAAAAAGTATCTCATTGTTGCAAGGTCGGCACCAAAACTTGTGGATGGCAATTCCAGGTACAACACTGATCCTGAAAGGATCTGGTCCCCGTGCGAACTGTAGTCAGCTAGGAGTG